GTTCGATCCCAGGCTCCGGCGGCGTGTCTGCATTTTGCCGTTGGCCCTTCTCTTCAAATAATTGTACATCTTTCGGTGATTATTCGAATGATTGACTGCCTAAATCGGACGGCTCTGCGGTTCCATTTGTAACAGAAACTGTTGACACTCCGGAAAAACTTCACAGAGAAATCAGCCATTGTTCGTCCGCCAAACAGCCTGTTCGCCTACCGTTCCCGGACGAAAATCGGCCTTTTTTCATTCGCTCCTCGGTCTGCAGTCGGATTCGAAGCGCGGCCGAAAAAAGGCCGATTTCTGTCCGGGAAAGTGAGGGAAGGGAGCCGTTTTGCGACCGGGAAACTCGCCTTGTTTCAAAGCCGGAACGGCCGAATCGTTCTGTGCGGGAAGTTTCCGTTTGCTTTTCCCCCCTCTTTTGTTCGTCGAAAGGGGCTTGGTTTGTGATTTCTCTGTACGCTTCGTAATCATCAGCGGCCTTCTTCCTCCACTTTCCTTTTTCCCAGTCCCTCCTCTTCCATGTCCCGCCCCTGGTCTTCTCCCCCTCTCCCCAAATCGTCCGCGCGTCCGCGCGGGGTCTGCCGTTGTGCGTCCCGGCGCCCCTCCCCTCGGACAGGTGTGCGTGCAATCAAGATTTTTCCAGCTCGAATGAAATCGAATCCGGGGAATTTTAATGTGAATCGAGAGCGGATTGGATAAATAATGTGTGTCTGAATCGAATGGATGATTTGGGTTCGCGCCCCCCACCGCCGAGGTGATTTGAAATGGAGGCCCGGGTTTCCTAACCGATTTGTCTTGTTTGCTTTGCTCTTGTTGCTAACCTGCCATGTTGAAACTGTAATTTAATTTCACTGCTCTTTCAAAATCAGAAATTTCTCTGCTCTCCATCGTGTGTTTAGGGCGTTCTTTGTTCGTACGCTTGATCAATATAAAGTGTTACAATTCGTCTTAATTATTTTATCACTGTTAGCTCTGGAAATATCTGCCTCGACGTTGAATGTGTCAACTGTCTGAAAGTAGAGAAAAAAAATGACGGCTCGCTCGGTAGCGCGATGCATGCTGCTCGTTTTTTTCGTGTTAATGTTCTCTTTCAATGGATCTAAAAAACGAGCAGCGAAAGCGGTATCACTCTTATCCTGTGCACATCGGTGGTTGTGACCTCGCGTATTAGTTCTGTAAATGCAAAAGTGAAACTGATACAAGAGTAAATACCAAATGACCCATTGTTGCAACAGCAGAACAGTTTCCCTTTACTTGTAACAGACGGAACCCCACGGAGAACTGGTCATCAATTTTTTTTACCGGATCTCGTTGAAAAAAAAAAATATTTTCAGTGTCCTAACAGATTTTTGATGGTTCAGTTTTACCCAGTAATGTCTCATGTAAAACAAAATTGAAGGTTTTACACACGTCTAAAATTTGAAATTGCGGAAAACTATTGGTGGTCTTTAACCTAGTCCTTAATTTTCTAAACAATTCAT